TATTAATATATTTAATAATAAAATATTATATATATATATATATATATATTTTTTTTTTTACTATTTTTTATATTTTTTTTTATTTTATAGATATTTTTCTTAATTAAATTATTATTATTAAATATTTAGAAATACATAATAATATATTTTTAAATTTTATATTAAATACAAAATATTTATTTATTTTTCGATAGATCAATATATAGCTTTACTTGATTTTTAATAAATAAATAATATGAAATAAAAATAAAAATAATATTTAATATAATTCAATTTTAATAAAATATAAATATTAAAAATTAGTAATATGTTTTGATAAGAAATAAAAATAACTAATTTTACTAGTATTTTTTTACTGTTTAAAAGTTTTATAAAGTTATTTTATAATAGCATTTAAGTTATTTATTTATTAAATTATTAAGTATTTGCTATAATTAGCATATTTTTATACTGTAAATGGAATGTTTAAAATTATAATGATTTCATTGATAAATAATACAAATAGTTTATTATTGAACTGTAATTTGCAAATTTTTTATTTCCTTATATAGTAGTTAATTTTGTATAAATTAAATAAGAATAAGCTCACTTTATTGATTGCTTATATAATTATTAAAAAATCGATATTTATTTTTAAAGTTAGAGTATAACTTTAATTTAAAAATTATAATAACTTTAATTTTTTACAATATAAATAATTTTAACATTTTTGGATCTCTTTAATTATAATATAAAGCTAGTTTTGGTTTGAGTTTTATATTTTTCTTCTTTTGATATTGGAAAAAATATTTCTAGATTTTAAGAAGAAAAATATAATATGTAAGAAATTAAATTACTTATTATTATAATATTATTTACATATTTGAAATAAGAAAAAAAATGTTCTTAATACTTAAAAAAAATAGTTTTTAGCTAAAAATATTAATGAGCATAACTAAATTTTTTAAAATATTATTATTTTTAATTTTATTTTCCAAAGTAATTATTCATCTTCTTCTCGTGTCCATCATAATATTAATTATCCAATTATTATTTTGCTTTCTGTTAATGAAAATTTTTATTTTTGTTATTAAAATAGATTTTATTTTAACAATAATATTTTAATTATTCATAGAATATGAATTTTTATTAAAGATTACTTATATTATTCCGTTTATGTTTTGATGAAATTGTAATATTAAATATTTTAATAATTAATTATTTATTTTATTTTAATTTATATTATTTTATTTTATTTTTTTAAATTATTTTATTTTATTTTATTATTATTTTTATTTTATTTTATTTTTAAAAATAAAAAATTATGTTAAATAAATTAAAACTTTAAATAAATCAATAAAAAAATTATATTTAAATTATTTAATAATAATTATTATAAAAAAATGGATAATAGCAATGAAAAAAATATACCAAATTAACTCAAAAAATAAATAATTTATGGTGATCTAAAATAAGATTATAAAAATATACCGTTTAATGATAATTAACTACTAGATTAAAGTGAACAGAAAACACTTTTATACTTAAAAATAAGTCCATACATAAAAATATTAATTTTATTTATTCTAATATTATTGACATCTATATTATTATTTTTACAAATATACAATATTACATAACAAAAAAAACCTCTATAAAATCCTAATGAATAATTTTTCCAACATAATTGGTAAGATATAACCGATGTAATAATAAAACCTAAAATAACAAAAAGTAAATTCGAAACTATAAAGTTAAAAGAAAATAATTTAAAAGTACTTTTAATATCCGAACCTAATTTACCCTAAAGTGGAGCCTCTTTAGACGTAAAAGTAGGTTCATATAATAGTCCAGACTAATTATAAGGACTTGCACATCTTTTAGAACATATGTTATTTATGGGAAGTGAAAAATATTAAGACGAAAATTTATTTTTTGATTTAATATCAAGGAATGGTAATTGTTTTTATTAAATTATAATTATATTAATAAAACAATATAGGAGGATTAACTAACGCATTTACAGCCAGTGGAAACACAAATTATCATTTTCAAAGCACAAATAATAATTTTGAGTAACTCTTAGATGTATGGAGTCGATTTTTTATTGACCCTCTTTTAAAAGAAAATTAGCTAGAACGAGAAATATAAGCATTAGATTCTGAATATATGAATGGTTTATCCAGTGAAGATGATAGAATATACAACTTATTAATTTGTATAAGTGATAAATAACATCCTTATAATAATTTTATTTATGGAAATACTGATTCTTTAATGAAGAATCCTAAAAATACATCCCTTGCCCTTAGAGAGTTTCTTTAGAAATTTTATTTTTCCGAAAATATGACTTTGGTAGTAAAAGTAGATTCAAATTATTAGAATTCAATTAAAAATAAAATTGAAAATCTTTTTTCTCAAATACCTTCCTTTTAGAAAAAAGCAGAAAATTCAAATCTTCTTTTAAATTCCAAATTGTAAACTGAAGAAATACCGGTTTAAAAAGGCTCGTATTTACAATTAAAGGAAAATGCTAAAACTAATAAACTTCATATATTCTTCTTTCTACCATTCAACGAAGAAAGTGAATATAAGACATTAACATTTATCAAATTTTTATTCAATTATGGATTCTAGGAAACAAATTTTTGCCTATATTTAATAGAAAAAGGTTTATCGAGCAAATGTGAAGTAGATATAGAAGAAGAGATTGCTGATTTGAATAAAGTTTTGATATTTTAAATAAATATAGATCTATTAAATGAAATAAAAAATGACATAAAAGAAATAATTAAAACTTATTTTTATTATATACAATAAATATAAAATATAACTGAAAAAAAGGAAAAATATAATCAAATTAAAGAAATACTTGAGAAATAATTTTCTTATTAAACTTTATAATAAGACAAATTAATGGATTAATTGAGTGAATTTTCGGAAATAATAAACTAAAATATAATAGTCAAAGATATTTTAAGTTATAAAAATTTATTGAAAAAATTTAATATTTACCACTTCGAAAAAACAATACAAATTTTACAGAATCCTGAAAAAATAATTATTATTCATAAAACTAATAACGAAAAATTTTTTGAAAATATTATTTTAATAGAAAACAAACTTTATGATTTGACTTATACTTAAAAATTTTTAAACCAAAAAGAACTTTCAGATTTTCTAAACTTCCAAAAAAAATTCAAATTAGTATCTTAAATAAACTTCCCTGTTATAAAAGATACTATTTTAGAAGATATTGATGATTCATTTTAAGATGATAAAATTCCTTAACTTATTTTAAACAACAAAAACGGAAGATTATTTATTTAAGTGAATAAAAAGGAATTTAGATAGCCTAAATAGGTGATTTATTTATAATTTAGTCATTAATTAGCTAAAAAAGATATTTTTTATTAAATATCGAATTATATTTTTGTCGATGAATTGAAAACGATTTTAAAATACAATATTTTTAAATACGAAATGACTGGACTTATATATGAAATAACTACAAATAAAGAAGGTTTTGATATATATTTAGAAATTTTTGATTCTTTACAAGAAGAAATAATAAAGGAAATATTAAAATGCTTAAACTAAGTGTAATTAAAGGAAGAAAATTTTTAAAAAACAAGAACAAAATAGAAAATATAATCAAATAATTTGAATATTAAAAGATTTATAAGTAATTTAATGAAATTTAATTTAAAGTTTTCATAAAAGACTACTTTTAGTAAAAAGAGATTTAATAAAATATAAAAAATCTAGATTTCGCAAAGCTCATTTTTTTTTAATAAAACTTCAAAAACTCTTTTTATTTGAATTTTTTTGCTTTCGGAAATACACAAGAAAATTTAATTAAAAACTCTTTCCTTTAACTAACTTCTAATTTATAAAATAATGCATAATCTTAAAAAACTAATATGGCAAAAATATTCTCTTTTACCAATTAAAAAATCGTTTATAAAACTTTATACTCTTCTATGGATAATATAAATAACTTTGGAGCCACAATATTTTATTTTGGTAAAATAACTATCAAAAAAAAAGCTATATTATAATTAATATAAAAACCTTTGCATAGTTTTGCATTTGAAAAATTGAGAACATAATTATAACTAGGATATATAGTTTCAGGCAATTTGATTAATTTTTAAGATATTTTTATTTATCGTGTACTTGTCTAAGGATATAAAAAAACACCTGATGTCTATAAGAATGAAATAGCTATTATGATAAATGATTTCGGTAATAAATATCTCAAATAAATGGATGATGAAACTTTTTTAAAGTTAAAAGAAAGTACTAAATAAAGTTTATCATTAAATTTTTCGAATTTAAAAGAGAAAGCATCATTTTATTGGTATTATATTATAAGTTAGACTTTTGATTTTTAAGAAAATAATAATCTTATTTAAGAAATTGATGGCATTTCTAAAAATGATGTTATTAAATTCTTTTATGATTCCTTTTTTGATAATTTCATTAATTTCTAATTATTTTAATCCTAATGTTACACCAAAACATTTAAAATAATAAT